GAGTCCCCACCCCCGGGGGCTGGCATGAGCTGCCCTTCGGCGGCGCCGGGGGGCGGGGGAGTCGCCGCCTGAACCCCAGTCTGCCGTCGACCCCACCTCGCCGAGAGAGGCTGACCGCGGAGCGTGCGAACGACCCCGTCACTGCTTTCTTCCTCCCCCTCAGATCACACGCCCCAGCCCTGGAAGATGGGGAACTGCCTCAAATCCCCCACCTCGGATGACATCTCCCTGCTTCACGAGTCTCAGTCCGACCGGGCTAGCTTTGGCGAGGGGACGGAGCCTGATCAGGAGCCGCCGCCGCCATATCAGGTAGGGGAGGGTGTGTGTTGGGGGTGGGTGAGAGGAGAGGCTGCGCTGGCCGAGATGGAGGGGGCTTAGGGATGTCTGGCCTTGGCGAGGCCTAGCCTGGCGGGTGGTGACCCCGTTAAGGCTGGGTCTGAGGGTGTCTGCTTCCAGCCTCAGAATGGGGTGGTCCTTCACCTCCCCTCGGGCACCGTATGGGGCTGGTATTCCCTGTCCTTGAGTTCAGGGATCAGAGTATGTGATCATATCCCCTTGGCCAATGTCTGGTGCTTAGCATGTGGAGTTTGGGTGTGACATTGTTTTCCTGCCTTTATGACCGAATCGTATGATTTCCTCATCGTAACCACCAACTGAATAGGTGGTCTACCGCCCACCCCACTCATTTATATTTTCATATATGATTCTCCCCACCCCCACCCGTCTTTGTTAATTGGATCTGGTAGGTGTTCATTTCTTCCTCTGCTTGGGAGACAGATCTCCAAGTGGTGATTTGAGTCAGCAATATCAAGAGTTGTTTATAGGTATATTAATTTTAAGTCATCCTCTTGTTCCACCCCTGACACACCTTTTTAACGAGCCGGCTTATTAAGACTTGATTATCTTGAACTTTGAAAAACCTTTCAGCCTGACTGGAAATGCCGTCTGTTTTGTGGTTCTCCCTTTTTATCAGATTCTCCTGAACAGGTTTCATTGCTCTTGGTGTAAAAACCACTAACCCCAGATGTGTTGGAATTAGAGCTAGAGTTCTTGAAAACTCAAAATAGATATGCAGATGTTGTAATCCCTGATAGATTAAAAGCCTTTCCTCTGCTTTTTCCATTTTAAATAATAACTGAATAAAAAGTTTCCAGAAGGGCCTGAATAGTAGTCCTTATTTTTTCCTGAAGGGAGTTTAGTTTTCTAACTGGGCAGTCTCCTTTGTTGTTTCATGTGGTGACATCATTAGTGTTTTCTTTTGCCATTCCTGTGTAACCCAGTGTCTCGGCACACCAGAAAAACCAGATCACATATGCTGTTTTCTGAATAAAACCCTTGAGGGTTCTTTCATGTATATCAGTCAGGTCTAGTGTTAATTGTAGTACATAGAAGCCTCAATGGCTTCTCTTCATTCTGTATTACAAGCCTAGAAAGTACATCAGGCTTTTCACACATCTGCCTTTTCTACAGTTGCTCACTGCTTAGAGCCCTTCCCCCAAGGTTGGCCAGGTGAACATCTAATCAGCTTTAAGGACTCAGCTTTTATATCTGAAGTCCTGACATTACTCTCCCTCCCACTTTGAATTCCCGGATGTGTCTCCCACTGAACTCTCTACACTTACATAAGCAGTATCTATAACACTTTAATGTTCTTTTTCTTTAGTTTGATATGTGTCTCATCCTTGAGGTGTTCCCCTTGTTCCCAGTTTAAGCTGTATGAGTCTAGGAACCCTGTATTTCCAGGTGCCCTTTGTATTATAGTAGGTACTTGGTAACTGGGATAAATGAAGAATAGAAGCCCTGTTCTCAATGGCTAATCTCAGTGTTTTCATGAATTTTCTGGCACATTAAAACACCTAAATGTTGAATGAATTAGCTAGCATTCAATATTATACTTACTGTACTTATACACCTAGGATTTGAAAGTTGTCACAGGGAGTAATCTCTGTAATTCCAAGCAGTATCTGGATGTCTTTCCAAATGTCTTTGCATGAAAGCAAGTGAACTTTTAAAATTTCATCATCCCTTCCCTATATATACATATACTCTACAGCAAATGTACCTAAGTTTCATAAACAAAATTTTTTAGAATTATGAATTTTCATTATAAAATTTATGCTCCCTAGCCCCTTTCTAGCAATTCAGTATCTTTACCCCTTTCTAGCAATTCAGTATCTTTAACTTGTTGCTCTTTCTCTTATCCTTTTGATTGCTATATTAAGGATAACTTTAGAGAACCACATTTGCGTTTGCCAGAAGCACTAGATGATAGATTTTTGTGATCATGAGCATTTTTTGGTATGTGTTATTTTTGACAGTGGGAAATTTTTGTGGTTGTTCTTTCCTGAAGTGAATGACCTAGATAACTGATGTAAAGTTTTGTATTAATTGTGAATTTTGTATTAATTATGAAAATAGTTATATTAAAAGCAGGAGCATAAAAGGAAATAATTTTTTAGGAAGAATATTGTCCCCCTGAAAGAAATAAGATTTTAGGAACATTTATTTTAGATAATTTGAGTAGCACCAATCCAAGGTGATTTGTAATATTTCCAGTTAACAAAAGTAACTTTTTTTTTGAGAATTAGTAAATAATTAACAGAACTACAGTAACATTGGCTTATTTATTTTCTTTCATGGTACTAAGGATTGAACCCAGGGCTTCACAGGTACTAGGCAAGCACTCTACCACTGACCCCTTGTTTCTTTAAAAAAAACAGACTCAGCTGCATAGGACTTCGAACAGGGAATAGCTGATTATAAGTAGAGGAACATGTGTGTCGGTCCCAGTCCAGTCCCCCCCCCCCGCCGTGAGTTATAGTTAAGATGACTTTGTGTTTATGTTGTACAATGTACATATATACCAAGAACTTGATAAAGGAAAATTCCAGATATTTTTTATTAGCAGGATATGACAGTTTTGTATGTTTTTTTTAATTTTAAAAAATTTTTGCTTAAAAATGAGCCCTGGGCAAGGGTGTGTTTGCTCAAATTTCAATCAACAGCACCTGTCAAAAGAAAAGTAATTCCTTTGCCATTAACAATCAACATTTATAGGAAGTAATAGGAAGTATGTATTTCTTTGCCATGTTCCTTTTAGTAGTCTCCTAGCTCTCACCCTTGCTTTCCTTATATGTAATTTGTTCTAAGCACAGTAGCCAGAATGATAATGATCAAATCATGGCACTCAATCTTTCATGGATCCCTGTTTAATGAAACAATTTCTTACAATGTCACAATTTATTCTGCATCTCCACACATACTTATTATGACATCTATGCTTTCCCCCTTGCTGGCTTCCCTCTAGTCTCACTGGTCTCCTTGTTCTTATCTAGGACCTTTGCTCTGCTTTCTCCTATGCCTGGAGTGCTCCCTAGGTATCATCATGGTTGATGACTTCCTCTCCTTCAAGGGTTTGTTCCTTTGTTTTTCATTTTTTGTTCTTCTGAAAGAGGTGCTAGGATTGAATCAAGGGCCTTGTGCATGCTAGGCAAGTGCTCTACCTCTGAGCTCCATTGCCAGCCCTTTTTATTTTGAGACAGGGTCTTGATAAATTGCTCAGGCTGTCCTTGAACTTGCTATCTTACTGCCTCAGCCTTTTGACTTAGCGGGGGTTTTGAGTATTCTCCACCTTGAAATCATTTTCAAGCACACACTGTTTATCCATCTTTCACTAAGAGGAAAGGAGATTTTTGGAAAGTTGATGTTTGCTAAGTAGTGCTTGACACATTAGGCACTCAATAATTTGGTTGAAGGAATATATGGATTCACCTTTAGTAGATTAAATGTATTATGAAGTGAATGCAAGTTGAATGTTTTAGAGGAAAACTGCATTTCCTATTCACTCCTAGGACAAGTCACTCCTAGTCAAGTGCCAAGAACATTAAATACTGGACTTGATTTAAAATAATTTAATGATAAAATTTTTTTGATTTGTATATCTATTGCCTCTAGATGTTTTATGATAAGTAATTGAATACTTACCTTTGAAGTATGGGTGGGGGAGTGACTGAGGCATTTCTTGAACTGGAAGAATTAAAATTTGGCAACCTATTTTACCCAGCTTTTTTATTTCCGAATGTTTAGAAATAATACAAATGAAATCTGCCCATCTAAGGCAGTCTTGGAGTGGTAGTAAAGTCATGAAAGGCTGGGGAATGGAGGTTCATCAGAGAAGGGGATCAAGTAGGCAACCTGTAACAGCTAGAGGTATCACTCTGTCACTCAAGTACCCTGTTATGTGCTGGTTTGACAGAGGCATTTTGCTAAGAGTTGTCATTGAACAACAAATCACTTTATAGTTTTTTTGAGTAAATATAAATATTGACATCTTGATATTTTATAAGAACTATATGTTGACTTTTCCTCAGTTAAGAAGATTTCGGGGCTGAGGATATAGCTCGGTTGTTAGAGTGCTTGCCTCACAAGCACAAGGTCCTGGTTTCAATCCCCAGCACCAAAAGAAAAAAAGTTGACATAAGTTTTGACTCTTATCATTTTTAAGATAAAGAGTCTCACTTAATTGCCCATGCTGGCCTTGTACTTGAAAATCCTACTGACTCAATGTACTGAGTAGCTGGAATTTCAGTTTGTA